GATATACAGCCTGAAAGAGAACCCCCAGAAGATCTTCAGTGAGTTCTGTCCTATTCCCAGCCACTGATGGCAAGAAGGACTACACCAGGGTTCAGGTTCTAGCTTAGCTTTTTTCTTCCTGTTTGGGGCATTACCTTATTACATGATGGCTCATTAATGATGTAATAGTGCTAAAGAAATGTCTTTACAAAACAAAGATAATCTCCCTGTCCTAAAGATTTGGCAAACTAATACTGTGCTAATACTTGTACAGGCCTGTATTTTAGTTATTGTTTCTATATAAGAAGCTGACTATGGTTAAAATTATACACTGTTGCTTTATTGGGAAGAATAGTCAATTGGGAGTTCCATCCTATGGCATCCTATAGTTTCAGTTTGTAGTTTAGGGTATCTGTCAGTGTTTCAGGGAATATCTTTCTCAAAAAATGCACATAATTTCATTAATAGAAATGCTTTGGGGTAGGAAAAAGCTAGACATAGCAATTCCCTTCCCCCCCCCCCCCCCACACGCACCTAATCTAACTGCTGACTTGGTGGTATGCATATAGAAATGCCTGGTTTCTAGAGCATTCCTATGTAAACCCCATTTCACACAATGAGAAGCAGCACAAAGCCTGAGAAATATGACCATTTTTCATTGTGTCCTCAAGCTTCCCATATATTTACAGCAGCAGTAACATTTTCCAGGAAGTCCATGTATAATACTCCACATGTAGCATGGCTCAGAGCTTTGTATTATGAAGAAAGTGTCTCCTCTTCTAGAATACATATTGGCTGTATGATTCTAACTTTCGGAGCCAACAGTTTTAGAACCAAAGGTACCAATAGTAGTCCCTTTTCAGTAATGCAACCATTCTAAAATCAATTACTTCTGCAGCCCTGCTCATTCTGATCTCTAGCAAAGGCATATCCAGTATGCATATGCCTTTTTATAGTACGGACACTACATGCCTTGCTTTTTGTTGAGAAAATGAGTAGAATATGCTTCTTATTAAGCACAGTGATGATCAGGCCCCTGCATAAATATATGGCTTAGTATTAACTCATTGAGTGCTATAGGCTATATATCCCCCTTCTAATGAAGGGGAAATTATCATGGCTATATAAATGATGTAGGGGACAAAAACTGATTTTGTTTTATGGTGACCTCAGTACCAAAGTATTATAGCATGATCCTAAGATCTCAAAGCATGTTCAGAAAGGAATTAAACCTAAGGATCAGGGTTGATTTACCCAGTAAACTGAAGCACCGGAGGATAAAGTACTTTTCTACACAGTGAGGTCTATACTGGGGGGAAGTTGAGTTATTTTAGCAGCATGACTCAAGTCAATATAACTTAGATCCATACTCCACTGAGTTGAAAAGAGGAACTTTCCATTTGACTCCCCTTTCTCATCTTGTTTTCGTGGCATACCAGAGTTGATGTCTGAGCAATCAGTGGTCAATTTAGCAGGTCTTCACTAGACCCGCTAAATCAATCCTGGGGGATTGAGCGCCACTTTGTTGATCCTGGCTGTAGTGGAGACAAACCCCAAGTGGCATAGACAGAAACTGGAAGCATAGATGTCACTAAGCATATTGTTAACAGTATATTTTGGTTACTGCTTAATGACCTTGACACAGCATCCTGCTGTAGGACACATTGCTTTGTACTCTTGAAGAGAACCTCATTATATCTATTCACTTAAGATGGTACAATACTGGCTTTATTCACAACTAAGGGTCTTTAACTCAAATAAGTTTTGTTTTTCTTCATTTAAATCACTGCTCTGGGGTGGGGCTAGGGATGAGGAATTCCATATGCAGGCTGTCCCGGGGAGATAAATCACTGCTCTGGGGTGGGGCTAGGGATGAGGAGTTCCATATGCAGGCTGTCCCGGGGAGATAGAACAGCCCCAGCCCTCTCTCACTGCAGCAGCTTGGGGCCAGGAGAGAAGTGCCTGTCCGTGGTTGCTGCAGCTCTGGCAGGCACATCTTGGGGAGGAGTGTATGTCCCCTAGCTGGGGGACAGACAGACACAGAGACAGACTATCTCTCTATCTCTCTATCTATCTATCTATCTATCTATATTGTAGATAGCTGTCACTTTCTCCACTCATGCCCCCTGCAGGCCCAATAGGGTTACAGGTGTCCCAAGACAATCTCTCTCTCTCTCTCTCTATCTATCTCTATCTATCTTTCTCTCTATCTATCTCCTGCCGAATGACAGAATGTTCCTGCTGGGTGACAGAATGACGTCGTCACTGTGAACAGGCTCTCTCAGCAAAGCGAAAGCGGCCCAAGAGAAGGGGGCAGGCAAGCGTAGCGAGCAGAGGGTCTGCCCTTCTGGGAACAACCCATTTTTCCTGGCACAACCAAACCCTGACCTTGCTTTAAGTTACAATAAGAGGAAGCTGCGTACCAAATTTGGTGGTCCTATCTATTAGCGTTTAGGAGGAGTTCTCGAACAATGAACTCACAAACATGCACATTTCTAAAATATAAAGAAATAAGAAAGTATGTCATTATTGACTGCATTATGTACTTTATTTCTTCATTAGGTTTTCAGTGAAAGTGGAAAAGACATTAATATACACTATGCTTGTTTTGTTTTTACAAATTTATTTTGTCATATTTTACTTTCAGGTGCTCTGGGTACAATAGTTAGGCAGTAGAAAATGACTGTTTAGCTAGATCAGCATTTCAGTAGAATTTAGGGTGCACCTAATTGCAGTTTTACATGTCCAATATAAATTCATATACCAAAGTTGGTTTGTCCTTCTGTCCGAGATTGCAAATGTGTGATTAGATTGACGGTCTCTCATTCAAAATATTTTTAAAACCATTTCTTTATTTATATTACTACAGTTCTTAAACTGAGCATTAGTAAAGAAACAGTACAGAGTGAAAAAAAATACATATACGTTTTCTTGGTATTTCCCATAGGTTGGCTAATGAAAACTGATATTACCTTCAGATTTTGACAGTTGTGATCTTGGTCTACAAACACTGTCAAGACCAACTTTTCAAAATAAATTTCCATTGACATTTTAAAGAAGAAGATGTGGGGCCCAGTGTCTGTTGGCTCTTTTGAGTTTTATAAAAGATGAATCTGAGGTTCAGGGTTTAATTTGACCTGATATTGCAATTTTAAGTGACTCTTTGTAAGCACATTATAATGACCCGAGCTTATTCCCTCCAGAATTATAATAGCGCTTTTAGAGCAACCAAAGAGAAAAGTGCCATTAAGGAAGTGATTTCTGGCCTTAAGCAGTTCTCAGAGCTTGTTGGCCCCATGTTCTGGTGGGAGATGAGTCAGTGCAATGTCAATAAAACGGAGACACCCTACCCCAGAGGATGTGTCTGCTTAATGACCCCTCAGCACAGGCATGTCCTGTGCATCTGGAGAAGTGGGTGGTGGGAAGATGAGTTTCTCGTTGGCTGTGTCTTCTTCTGGTTCTCACCCTACACTTGAGGCTCCACTAGATTGCATAGTAGAAGGTGGTTTGTGGGATTTTTTAACACATTGAAGAGAGAGTAGGGAGCAGTAGAGTTGGAGATTGACTACTCTCTGTAGTACTGTTCCCAGGTGACTTTCCAGATTTCTGAGTGGCAATCTATTCAAATATTAATAAAGCTGAAAGCTAGATCTCCCTCTGGATAGAAAGGCAGCAGTAGAACATCGGGGGTAATCGATGCAGTTGAGAGGCCTTGCCTTCTCCTTATGCCTTCCCTCCCCCCTTGAGGGGACAGCACATGAAGAGCTCTGCCAGAGCTACTAGCTACAGTTCTCCTGGTTCCATTGGGTAAATCACTCTGATCTGGAGTTTTATTATTTGATTCCAGGTGGTCCCAGTACAGTCCTAAAAATGAGATCTGTGACTCATGTCCTAATCTAAGAAGAAACCAAATAGACCAGTAATATTTGCTAGCAGCAGTCATGGAGAAGAACTAGCAATAGTTCTACACTTTGTTCTTAAGCGCCCATTGCTAATTGTTGTTGATATTTGAATCCTGCACTTCATTATTAGAGAAGACAGAAGGAAATATTTATCAACTGCTTCAGAAATTTGTCCATAGAGTAGAACTTTCTGTATGTGTGGCATTTAGGGCTTGTGTACACAGGAAAGATTTACTTACTATACTGGTATAATTAAGTGGATATTGTTAAACCAGTGCAATTCAGTGACACTTTTCAGTGTAGCTTAAAACTCTTCCAAAGTGAAACAAGCTAATAAAAAAGGCCACTTTTATAATGGAGGGGGGGTGGAACATGGGTAACTATATTGGTTTAAATTAACTATTAAATTTATCACTTTCACATGTAGGCAAAACCTTAATGTTAGTATATAAGTTCCCAGACAGTAACTGCTCCTGTGAAAACTCATGTTTCTTCCTTTGCTGACTTCCCCCTTTGCTTGTGTATCTATTTAAAAACAAACCCCACCAAATAACATTTAAAAACATGATGCTTAAATTGAGATACACAGAGGAAGATCTTGGGCTTCCTTTGAATCAGGTGTTGCTGTGGCTTTTCAATATACATGAAACTGCTTAAAAGCTCTTCTCCAGATAAGGAATGTAGGTCATGTTACTAGTAATGTGGCATGTAATCAAGTGTGACATTTCTGCTCACCCCTTAGATGACAGCAGGGTTTATTTCCCTAAACATAATAAGGTGGGAAACACGGAGGTTTTGGATAATACTTGAATTATGCCAAATTTCGTGTTAACTTCAGTTTCTCTGCTGACTTTACTCATCTGCGCTGATTTCTATTATAGGAAAAACGCTTGTCAAAACAACTTTAGAGTGGGGGAAAAATGTCCACATGTTTTATTTTTAATGTGAAGTGTTTCCTTGTTTTGTCAATCATAGCGTATCTATTAATGCTAGAAAGTGTGGGAGCCCATTCTTAGCAGAGAAAATTGTTGAATAATAAAAGCTTTGTTCTCACTGGTAAACATCTATTAACTTTTTTGGCCTGGAGAAATATTGATTTTTCTCTCACTTTCGTTTCAGATTCTGCTTTCTTCCCTGGCCGTTGTGCTGAGATTTTTGCCAAAGGTCAAAGCATTGGAAAGCTTGGAGTCCTTCACCCTGATGTTATCACCAAATTTGAGCTCACTATGCCGTGTTCTGCCCTAGAGATCAATATTGAACCCTTCTTGTAAAGACAAGACTGTTATATTGCCTCCAAAAATCCACTTCATATGCAACCGTGCCCTTTAGTCTCTCTCTCTGCAGGGACCATTTACTTATACTGCAGTGTTCTAATAAACTATGAAAACATTGTCTAGCTCCATGAATAAATATGTTCCTTACATTACAAATAAGCTAACATCTGCAATGTAAAAATGTGGTATCTAGGGCTACAAAGTGCTGTCGGTGTATTTCTCCCAAATAAAAAGTTGGGTAAAACCCAGTGTATTACAAGAAAAATGTAATGGCAGAGTACATAATTAGTTTTCAGAATAAAAAAACATTCTACAGACAGAGCTTCATACTGTAACTGATTATGGATCCATAACAGGAATCTCATTCTTTTTTTTACTGCATGAAATAAGATAATTGATTAGAGCAAATGTTGAACGAATGTGAGCAGAACTAAGGAATTGAGCTTTTATTCTGTACGGTTGTCATTTGCTCATCAGTGGTTGGGGGAGGGAAATAAACTTTGTTTCATGAAAACCAGAACTATTTTCTAAGGAATACTTATACAATATCTACCGCAATGCAGTAAGCAAAACCTTTATTTAATCTGTTATCATTCTAAAGTCAAAGAAAAATCCAAGTTGAAATTATTTCATGGCAAATATAAGCCTTATCACTTTGAAGTTCCACACTAACCAAATTAGAGAAACTTAAAAATGAGTGACCTTTTTGCTTAGAGTCCAGAAATATTGATCAAAGATTTTATGGGACTGAGGCCATGATGTATGTTTGCTGAACTTGATACGTTCCATGCTGCACTGACCTAGGATTTCACAATTCCTGCAACCAGCAGATGAGATTGGGCATTGATGCAGTTGTTTTGCACCTCCTTACCCAGCCTAGTGTGTGCTGTACTGACTGATCATCTGTGTCCTTACCCAGCCTAGTGTGTGCTGTACTGACTGACCATCTGTGTTACTCATTTTCCAAGTCAGTGGAAGGCAAGTATGTCTCAACCCTAACTTGTAACTCCGATCATCTGAAGAAGTGGGCTGTGCCCACAACAGCTCATGATACCATCTACATGTTTCGTTAGTCTATAAAGTGCTACCAGACCATTTGTTGTTTGCTCGTGTTTTAATCAACTTGACCATTGTACTGAGGTTGCCCATTGTGACCATAATATATCTTGCACCAATTCAATGTACCCTTTCCACTGCGAGAGCCTGCCAAACCTAGTCCCACAAGGGAAGGACAGTATAAATATAATCTGCAGGGTGGTGGTGTACAAGAATGATACAACTACCAGTTAAATAAGGAAGATATGTACAAAAAATGGAGGTGGTAAGTTCAACTCAGTCTTATGAAATGTATTACTGGTTCTACTCAAGAGGGCTTTGAAGTATGTCTTTTAATAGTAAATCTTTCATTATTCTTAACAGGTGGAGGACTGTTAGTATATTATGAAAAATGCATTACAGCTACCCATCTGGAAATCCTATTGTCAGTGAGTTACAGTTACTGTCAGATGGAAGTGTAGATTTTATTTCTCTGCATGACAAACATGAAATGAGAAGGTATTACATACATAAGGCAACTGACTGTACTGCGCACAGTGAGCGAGAACTGCAGCTTGCAGTTTAAAGTCCCTCTGGGATTATCAAGCTTTGTCAGTTGAAAGGTATATTCTCTGTGATGCCTACACAACGATAACCAGGCAAGCTCTCAGTGTGGGAAGCAATCTTGAACACAGATGGTAAGTATTAAAAACCTCTTTTGATTAGTGTTTGATACGTGGGGATTAGAACCACAATAAGGCAGATTTGCATTCAGCATAGCATAGGCATACTTCTGCACATTCAATATACTTCTGTAACTGAAAGGTTCCTGTAAGTGACTTGCCCAGGATCATCTGAGAAGTCTGACATTGGGCAATTGAGACAAAATCTCTTGCAGGAAGTACAGTGCCTGTACTAGAGTTTATACCTTGCACCAGAAATAAGTCTCTGACCAATATACACATCTGCCTTTGCAAGAGACACTACAGTTGCTCTGACCTATGGCATCCAATGTACTATTGTAGCATTTATTGCCAAAGGAAGCCACATTAATGAGGCTTATTGCTATAGATTTTTTTTCTGCTGCCCTTTGCCTCAATATTTCTTCCTGACACTATGGGAATCCAAAAAGAAGGTGAAACTTTTGAACTGATGACATTGAGAGGTTCAAAATTAGTTTGATCTCAAACAATTATTTCTTGCACAGTTCACTGGCTGGCAATAGAGCCTCCCTTCATTAGCTTTGGGCTCAGGCCACAAGTGAGGCAAAATGGAGAAATGGTGGCAGCATTGGGAAGGATGGGTCAGTATGAAGAGTCTGTATTTTATACAGGTGACAAACAGAAAATGCGGAGGGATGAAGGGATAGACTTGGCTATAGAGTAGAGCTGGTGGGGAAACATGAGAAATGAAAAATAAAAGTTATTTTTGTCCCCAGATAACTGTTAGGAGGCTGACACGTTAGAATTCAATCAAACAGCAGCAAAACTCTGGCAGCAAGAACTGGCTCAGCTTTTTGAGAATGAGATGATAGTTTTCAGGGGAGTTTTGTCAAGGTTTGACCACCAGTAATGGAAACAAAACAGAAAAAGTGATGAGGGCTTTCTTGTTTCTTAGGGTATGTCCACACTGCAACACTATTTTGAAATAACTAACACTATTCCAAAATAACTTAGTCCACAGTTATGCAACAGGCAATTATTTCGAAATAGCGTCAAAATACTTTCAAGCTGGAGGACTTCTTTCTCCGACTCCTGTAAACATTGTGGCTGTGTCTACACTGGCAAGTTATTCCGGAAAATCAGCCGCTTTTCTGGAAAAGCTTGCCAGCTGTCTACACTGGCCCTTTTCCAGAACAGTTTTCCAGAAAGACTTTTGCCCGAACGGGAGCAGCATAGTTTTTCCGGAAAAGCACTTTTTCGGGAAAAGCGTCCGTGGCCAATCTAAACGCGCTTTTCCACAAAAAAGCCCCGATAGTCATTTTCGCGATCGGGGCTTTTTTGCGGAAAAGCGCGTTTAGATTGGCCACGGACGCTTTTCCCGAAAAAGAGCTTTTCCGGAAAAATGTCCTGCCAATCTAGACGTGCTTTTCTGAAAATGTTTTTAACGGAAAACTTTTCCATTAAAAGCATTTCCGGAAAATCATGCCAGTGTAGACGTAGCCTGTATGAGGAATGAGGGAAGGCAGAGGAAAAATCTATTTTGAAATAAGTGCTGTGTAGATGCTCCCTATTTTGAAATAAGATACGCAATTGACATAAACTTACTTCAAGTTAAGCCCTATAGTGTAGACGCACTGTTAGACAAGTCAACCTCCTTGTAAGATGGGTGATGAAGTGGGTTTTGCCCACTAAATCTCACGATACTATATATATTTTTGTTAGTCTCTAAGGCCTGGTCTACACTAAAGGAGAAAGTCAACTTAAGATATGAAGCTCCAGAGCATTAATTACATAATAGGAGTTCAAGTATCTTAAATCACATTTTGATGCTGTCCACACGGTGGGAGGTCAATGGGAACACATGCACCAGTTGGCTTCCCTTACTCCTTGTGAGGAGCAGGACTACTGGTGCTGACAGGAGTGTCCTCTCAGTTCAAATTAGCATATCTTCACTAGACCTGCTAATTTGAATCCCAGAAGATAGATTGCAGCAGAATCGATCTTCTCCATAGTGTGGACAAGTCCTAAGGTGCCACCGGACTACTTGTTTTTGCAGAGAAATTGTCAGTCGTAATTAAAACTGACTTGTATTCGGAGATCATAGTCTCTGTAAGAGATTTACTATTGCCAACTGGGAGGCATGCCAGCATATTACAATATTTTACTGTTACCGTATTTTCCGGCGTATAGGGCGACTGGGCGTATAAGATGACCCCCTAATTTTTTAATTAAAAGATAGGGTTTCATCTTATACCCCAGCGCCCCTCCGCCTCCTTTGCTCCCGGTGTCCCTGGTCTGCTGGAGACGGTCCCCAGCAGACCAGAGGCACCGGGAGCAAAGCCGCAGCAGCTTTGCAAAGCCTCAGGGGAAGCCGGCGGCGGGGCATCCCAGGCGCACCTGGGATGTATACCCGGTGTACAAGACGACCCCCGATTTTTGGGGGATGTTTTTTAACATCAAAAGTCGTCTTGTACGCCGGAATATACGGTACATTGGATTTTCAAGTGTTTAGACCAGTCTACTGTCTTTAGTCTAAGTAAATACCAATTAACCACATTCTGGAGAGACAGTTAATGTATTTTATTTCTTCTAGGATATAATTCCCATACTGACCAGTTCTGTGCATATTTATTTACCAGTTAACCAAAAAAAAAAATTAAAGAAACAGGCTTTAACTGTAAGTCACTGACAGAATATACTAGTGCTGAGTGTGAAAGATATAGAGCATCCTTTTCCAGGTGAGGACCCATTTTGACAATTCAGGAAGACGGTGACCCAGGGTAATTAAAAAAATGTGTGCATGGCTCCTTTAGAGCCACCTGGCAACCCAGATTTGAGTCCCGACCCATAGGTTGGAAAACCCTGATCTAGAGACATAAAGGCAAAGCTCTGCTCAAAGAAAGGGAACATAGCAACACCACCTCATGCATTCCACTAACATAACTATTGTATTCACTAGAAAACCTACACTTTCATAATTCATAGGCTCAGTGGCACTGTTTGCTAGGGTGCTGTCTGTATTTATTGTCTATTTGGAATGTTTTTCCTTAAGCTAGTACGAGGTCTGGCTGACATGCATTTATGTGTTGTTACAGGTTGAAGTGGGAATGATGAATTGATGGGCACAGCAGGAGACTGGAAGTCAGAATTCCTGGGTCTTATTTCCACTAACCTGTTCAATGCCCATTGGAAGGTAGCTCATTTCAACCATATGTAAAACAAGTATATAACATGTCTTGTGAGGTTTAATAGTTAAGATCTTCTGAAATTTGCTCTGCACAGTAAAAGGGAGGAATTAGGTGCTATCACTCTAGCCCAGTGGTTCCCAACTGCCAGTCTGTGGACCAGCACGCTGCTAGGCCACGCCTCCAGCTGCTAATGAACCCCGCCCCCTGGGGTTCCCCATAAAGTGCACAGATGTCTGTGCGTGCACAAAAAATTCTCTTCCCACCCACTTCCTCATGTGTCCTGGTGTGCTGCGGCTGGAGTCAGGGCCCCAGTGAGCCTGTCTCTACTGGCCAGCTCAATGTGGAGGGCAGCTCCAGGGCACTCAAGGGCCAGAAACCAGCTGCCCTGCGAGTCCTTTCTCCTCCTGCCTGCTCTGCTGCTACCAGGCAGCC